AGCGGCTGACACTCACACGATCATCATTTTTCATCGACGTTGACGCTCCAGCATCATCGTTTGGATCTGGCCGAGCTATCGCCTGATTCAAGTTGCTAACAAAAGATACGTCTGAATAACCGTTGGATGCCTGAAAAATTAAAATAATAACTGGAACTGGAAGGCAGATTTAGAAGGAACCCAGAGAAGATTTGTTAACATTGCTTTTACAAAAGATATTTTTGCAGCTGGATAATCGATCTGTCATTTTACAATACAATATTTTTCACATAGAAGACCCGCCCAGACCCTGGACCATTGTAAAATCACTTCGCCACGCTCTTTCCCCTGCCATTCTCTGCATAATCCGGAACGTAAGCAGCTTATTCGCTACAAACACCCCACTACCCTCGTTAATCGTAATGCACCTGACAATAATATAAGTCGTTCAATTTCCAAGATATCGATAACCAGATTTCCCAAATCGCAGTTTTGATGCGTCTTGATATGAAAAAGCAGGGCTCATGGAGTATGTAATCGATACCAGATGGGAGATTGAATACCCGAATGGTTTGGAAACGCAATAACGTTATTGAAATTCCCCGACAGTAAATAAGCCCACGCCATAAACGAACGTCTAGGTGGCATTTGTCCAAGCGTGCTATGCATACAGAACTAGTTTCCACGACTTGGATACAAAACTTTACGGCATGTGTAGCATTTATACAATTGTCATAAGAGAACAGAAGATTGGGTTATAATCACTCTTTTAACTTCCACTTTACCAAAAAACCAAGATTAATACCTCTTCCTTCGGCTTTTCTTGCCAATTCTAGCTAAATTTTTCACACTAGCCTTCACAGAAACCAATTTCCTTATATGAGCGCTACAGGCTAACGATAGACATGGCTGATTGATTTCGGTAAGGCAATTATTTCTGAAAGTTCGCAGAAGGAAATAGTATAAATGTAATCGAAATTGTTTCATCAAGCTCAAGCCATCTATTCTGAGCTCGAAATATAGATTCGCTAAGATAAACAATGAGGTCTTGGATTCGCTAATTAAAGAACAGCAATTACAGTCGTTAAACTAAGACGTGAGAGATGAACATAACTTATTTTTAAAAAAATATTATTATTAGCTGAAACCCCTCTAAAACTCAATGGAATCGCAAGATTCAAGAATGTGGGGATAACTATTCGCTGAGACCTAAGATTCAAAAAGCATCATTGCTCTATTGGGAATAATGAGTTTTCTCAAAAAAGATTGTAGAGTATGAGTAACATTGACAGCATTCAATACACAAACATTCAGATTCTTGACTGCCAGATGCTTTTACTTCCTATTCCTTTCAGTACTACAAAACTAAAAAAGGAAACCGAACACTTCAAGATGTAAGATTTGCAAAAGGCTCTAAGAAAGAGTTAAAATTGATTATGCCTGCAGCAAAGGTCTGGCGCCAGAAGAGCAGCTGAGAATATAACACTAAAGTCTCCCTACAGCGCTTTCTATCCATTTCCACGTATTATGAAATCGTTTACCTTTGTGTAAGTAAACTCTCTAAAGACAATTGAGCTTTCTTCTTCGGAATTTATATAACATGTACATAATAGTGATAAAAGTTGCTATCGTTTCATTTGCTCCCTAAAAACATTTCTACAGAATAATATTGAACGGATGACGACAGTAGCGTTGAATTTGCAACGAACCTAGAGACTATGACAAGAGTCCATCGTTTATGAGATGATAAGAGTACTCGCTCTAAGAGCATCTACAGGAAATTGATAGTCTAAGTCAAAATAGACATCCCTTGCAAGGATTATGTACAAAGGATTGCAAGGAAAGTTTTGCCTCGTCTTTTCACACATCCACCGCTCAATATTTGGCTCTGTTGTGGAACGATTTTGGCCCACATTTAAGTTCCTCCAGTCGCTAATGAGAATGTGGTTCCCCTTTTCTTAACAACCCTAAAGACTTTCACTTTGGCATTTGATCCATGCACAACTTTAGCGCTGTT